AATAACCCAATTGAAATCAGATATACAAGGAAAATAATCTCGGATATAATTCTTATTAAATAAACAATCAATATCTGCACAAATAACGATTATTATAAGATAATTAATCAATGTTATTAAGATATAAATCAATAAAAATTATAAATTTTAACTACCAATAAACTGCTATTGTTCTTTGTCACGTGGGCGGCCTTGCTTTTATTTCATTGTCGTGTTTTTAATTACTTTAACAAATATTCTGTCTATTTATATCAATCAAGAAAATACTTAGGTACATCCGAATTAGATTAATAAAATCGTTATAAATTCTAAAATGTACTTTTAATAAACTAAAAGTACACAAGTCCCTATATTATATAAAAGTGCCTGTAACCTTATTTTACCTCATATACATATATTTACAATTACATTGTTAACCATTAAATATAGGGCTAGCAGTCTCAAAACTACGACACGTTCGCTACACGTCGCGTTGAGCATATCCAACTCCGCAATTTTTTCGTGAATAAGGAATATATTCATAAGCTGCATATGTCATCATATCTTCCACAAAGATAATAATCTTGTAGACCTCCACATAGTGCTGGATTTCGAAGTGGAATAGCTACACGTATTTATTCTCTATACGCGGGATCCACGAGAACCATCAGGTTTGTCTTAAGATTTCCTTTTTCACCCAACATAATCTAATATATAATATAGTAAAATGGTAAAAAGTCATATATGTCCTTTCATTTTTTATTTCCGCGAGGCGATGGGAGCACCTGATTTATGTTACTATTGAAAATAAAACAGGCACCGTCACTAGGCCAAGGTTATAGTACCGGCATCTAAAATTAGAAGAACGAACAATATTAACGGTCTGTCAGCGTTACATCAAGAATAATGGATATACAGGTAGGTCTTAATGTTAATAATGGCAGATAATGAAGAATATATTGATTAATAAACATTAAACAGTAAATTTTTCATAATCTGAATAATTCATGAGTATCAATGTTTCCATGGTATAAAGAATAAAACAGTATTAATGTTTTCATTAACGATTATGAAGTTAAAACATTTTGTTGAAAGAATGAAATATAAAAGACTTCTTACATACGTAACGTTATTGAAGTAGTCTTTTTTATTTCATCAGATACTTGCCATTCTCTATGTTATATTATAAAAACGTGTGTAATGGTACCTTTGTTTGATGATGATTCTAAGTAACTGCAGCGATAGAACATGTAGTTGTAGTGGGTATCTGTCACTACAACTACAATATGTATTCTTCTTATGTATTATGATACAATAAGGTATCATAAATGTTACATTGTATTTTTTAAAATTACTTAAGGTAATTAATTAAGGTATTCCTGAATCTGACGTATGGGGCATCTTATGTATCATGGCACTTTCATATCCACAGAGTCACTTTCATATCAACAGTTCATGTCAATGTTGGCAAATCCATACACAAAAAAATATGGACACATTTTGAAGGCTACAGTTTACAAGTATGTCTACACATGTCTCACTATACAGCTATGCAGGTATAGATTCGTAATACAAAGGAGGAGGTGTTGGATACATAGTGCACTTTGCATGTGCAAGTACCTGCTTGCACCTTTAAAATGAAAAAAAAAAGTTTAAAACTTGATATTACTGTATACAAATATAATTTACATGTACTATACTTCTTGTTACTTGTCTCTATATATTGTATTATTGACTTTTAATTACTGTAGTAGGTTATGTGTAAATGTATCTAACATTGACTTTCGTGTACACCTCGAATTATAAATAGAGCACTGTACGAAAAATATTGTTCCAACTATAATTATGTCTATTTCTATTCAGACCTGATAATTATTTTTGATATATGTATACTTATAGGTATAATTCCTTAAAAAGTCACATACAAGTAACGTTTTGTACATTCAAATAAAATATGTATATACAAATATTCACTTCCTTTGGGGCAGTTATTAGAGTGGTATAAAACAATTTAAAATTCAAACAAGTATTTATTATACATTACTTACTTTAACATGCGAGTAGAAGTAATTAAATACCTACTCAGAGACAAGAAACTTCAGTTTTATAATTATTTACACTGTATTTTGTACTAAATTTGTACTAAAAAAGTATTACCCACCTAATTATATACTGCTTCTATCACGGAATCAATAGGCACCATTGTTTTGGTATAAACTATACTTGATTTGGCAGATTTTTTGATGTTTTCTTTTGTCACGATATCTGTTCAATGCACTCCATATTTATTTGTACTAAAGTTAATTGAAATAAGATACAAAAACTTGAAAGAAATGTTTTATTTTGAATTGTTTATTGGATTATTAGGCCGAATTAGGTTATGTTTAGTGCATGGAGCGGCCGAGCGCGGCGCTATCTGCAACCGGCTGAGGGCGACTGACTGACAGAATGCGCCAAGGCGGGCGGTTCGGCATTTCCCACTGAACCCTACTGATCTTCTGAAATAACCTATTTCAAGCGTGAACATTATATTTCTGTGAGTTTGAAAGAGAAAGCAACACTGAAGTCGAACTATATCGAATCAAACCGAGTGTGAATTTACGCTAAAGTAAATAGCAAGTCACAATTCGACTGAGGGCACGTTTTCGCCCGTTAAATTAACATATTAATGTCAATCGTAGATTTTATAATGTAGTTACCAAATTAGATGTTTTTGTTTGTTGGCTATAAATATATTTATTGCTCATCGTATTTATTTATAGCGAAGTTAGTTCAAATATGCAGAAGTTTGAAGGTAAACTTTAAGGCTATTTTTACAAAATTTACTCTTCATAACCAATGCCACTGTCTGGTAATGCACACGCAGTTATGTAGATACATATGTACAATAGATTCGATTCCCGGCCAGGAAAGTTTTAGTTGTTTTTATCTATAACGGTACGTGGGTGTTTTTATGAGAGTATTTTCACTTATAATTTTATAGCAAATACTCTCCTCTCTCGACGTAACGACGTCGATTATTTTGTAGGTATTAAATGGAAAAGTTAAAAATATGTAAATAATTTCTTTTTTAAAATGCTCATAGATTTCATTACTTGAAAATTTTACTTGTATATATTATATATATACGACGGCTGTCATTCATTCTAAATTTAAGAACTCTTGTCGGTGGATCTCTTGCCCTTTTCCACGATCTTCTATCAGTCTTTAAACGTTCATACGTCACGACACCTTGTTCTTCTTTTCCCCTGTTACCTTCTATATTTAATGATATAAATTACATATAACGTTTATCCGATTGGAATAATGTGACTTACAAATGATGACACAATTTTTCAAATATGTGATTAGCCTTTACATAAATATAAACGCAAAACCACACACAGTCTTTATTATATTAGAGTTAATTTATTGGGATCTTAGGGGATATAATTGAATCATTGTCCATAAAGTAAAACAACCCCTCATTCGTCATTCCTAGTAGAATAAGAAGTTAAGGTATGGTACTACGTGAGTTTTGTGCAATGGGTCCTCTGAGAGGATTTTTCCGGCATTCTGTTATTTGTGTAGGACAGTAATGTTATTTCTAAATCGTATTTTATTTGTTACTAGTGACTTGCCCTTGTTTTCGTACTCTTGACAGTGTTTATGTCTGTGATGGAGGTCGAATAACTATCTGCATGTATTATATACCTGTATTATATACACCTTCTGGAAGAAATTCTCTAAAAGGTAGTGAAAATGTAATGAAATTCCGTTGCCTGGTTAAGAATAAGTAAGGAGAGAATCAAACAGACAGAAAAGAAGCAACTTTGTTTTATACTATTAGAGATATATACGTGGTCTATTATATAATGAAAATAGGCCTTACTTAATTAAATGCAGATTTTTTTACATTGCACATGTATTCGTATATGTATAGCCAATGATTGTCACTTTATCAGACATGCGTGCTATACAAGTCTGTGCGGAGGTAACCAAGCCTATCTGCTTGGACTCTACCTCAGCATTAATAATAGTTTGTTGACTAATACAATTTAATCCTTATTAATATACGACAGTGTGTGTCTCTCTATTTGTTTGTATGTTTATTATCACTAACGGCTGAACCGATCTTAATGAAATTTGACGAGATGATAAATTGTATTATAGGACGCACATACCTATTTTTTTCTTTGAAAATAATCTTGTCGGGGTCACAACTTTCAAGATTATTTTTAATAGTCGATGAATAGATTGTACTTAGTGGCTTAAAGTAGTGGTGTAATTTAGATGGCTTAAAATTGTCAGTTGCGCAGAATCCAGTGATAAATAGAAAAAGATGGAGTATGGTATCATCAATTATTGACTTTGCTGATACCGTGAAAGTCGTGAAGTAGCTATTTTTAGTTTTACTAATACTAAAATAGAACACGTTGAAATAATCTTATTAAATATGTGTATAAGGCACATAAAAAGTAGTACCTACATACATAGTATCTATGGCGAAAATAAAATATTGTAAAGCAAACGAATAATTCGGAATCTCTGCAAAAAATCTTTTTTAGTAGCTTTCTACCTGAACAAAAAACAAAAATTATATATAATTTTCTGTTATGAACAAATATTTTTGTTATAATGTTATATTTCCATATAAAGTATAGCCTTTATTTACTTAGGCTTTTGGATAAACTTATGTTGGAACAGAATAACATGTTTTATTTGCTAAAGGATCAAGTTATTATAATTACTAGAACTTATTTATTATTGTTACTGAATTGTACAGCAGTTTGCCCGGTTGAAAGCTTATTCCAACAACTCCAAACAAACAAGAATATTTGAATATAATTATCTACTATTGCTTTGTATTGTACATTTGGTAAATACTATAAGTAGATAGGCATTAATTCAGTGAGTTTAATTTACCAATAGAAGTCTGTTAGATTAGTAATTCCATACTTACATCAATGTCGTAAAATTTTATGGATTGATTTGATTAATCAGTGAGTTTATATTACTTCTCGTATACATATACATAGCAAATGATTGATAACAGAGTTGTTGTATTTTTTATTTCTGTACAGCCTTTTGTTATGTGCCATTTAAAAGATATGGGGGAGCTAATATACAATTGGACAGCTTCTAAAGAATATGAATTGGTGGATCGAATCGACGGTGGAACAGAAGTAGATCTAAAAGATTATCCATTCAATGTTCAGTTTTTTAATTTTGGTGGAATGTGCAGTGGCACAATATTAACGACGAAAATAGTTCTAACAGCTGCACATTGTTTCGATTACAATAGAAATATAGCTGAGATGAGAATATTATCAAGTTGAGTGAATATATTGTATTTCCATATAATTCATTACTAATTTTTCAAATATTATAAACGCTGATGCGGCTGTATGGTTAGATACTTTTTCATATAGAAACTACTAAATGGATTTTGAAACTTTACAGTAATATAGCTCATACAACAGAATAACACATAGGCTATAATTTAATAAGACATTATGTAAAATGCGCGGAAGGTAATGATAACTGATGTAGTTGTGGGGATAAGTTACTAAATTAATATAAATGCTAGACCTACAGAGACTTTGTCAGATATCTGTCTGAACTGTCTGAGTCTCTATTTAAGTTACGAAGCAGTATGCTTTGAGATAAGACGAAATTACAGAATAAGAGGCATAAGGACTTAGTTCTCTGGAATGCCAAAGTATGTACGGTATCGCGGGCGTCACATGATTATTGATTATGTGATGTCTATTGTGAAAATACGTTTATTTGTATTTATATAATTGTTGTTGCCAAAATAAAGAGAAAAATATTCTTTCAGATTGCCAATTTGTCTATAATTGTAAATCTACGATTCACCAGATATGGGACTTTATACTACACGAACATTACAACGAAACAATAATTTTCTCAAACGATGTAGCAGTATTAATAATACACGACAATTTTGTTTTGGGTCCTTATGTACAGAAAGCGGTATTGATCGAGAATGATTTATGGATGCACGAAAATGAGACCAATTTTATAGCCACGGGGTGGGGAGTCGCCGAGGTATAATTAGTTGCTATTAGTTTTTTTAAAGAATTTTTAATTTAGCACTTATACTTAATTCAGTTCCATTATACAACCACTATGTAGAAGGTAGCTACTCTATTTACTAAGTTTGTTCAGATATCGCCTCGAGGAATTGAAAACAGGATTATAGAAACAGGTTTATAACATTTACCTAAATGATGAAATTAAAGTAAATTTAAGCTATCCACCCTAATATTACATATAAAGATAGATTCTATCATGAAGTCTGATATCGACTATATTTTATCTAATACCAGCTACTCGCCCCGGCTTCGCCTGGGTGTACATGTATTATATATATATACCTTCTTTAATTATCACTCTATTAAAAAAAGCTCTTTAAACGATAAGTAGGTACTTTTGATTTTTGTAAAAAAAAATTGATTGTATTTCCACAGAAGAATGATGTTAAGCAAAACAAAAATAATGGACTAATGATGATATACCTGAGATATATACCACGTGCTAATTGCTCACGTATGACCAATGTGCGGCTAAGTTCAGACATGTTCTGTATGTATGGGGACGGACAGCGGGACACGTGCCGCGGGGACTCAGGGGGAGGGATTTTATGGAACAGGTAACGTTATTATACGTATGATATTGTATACATACGGTATAATTTGTATATATACATTCAACAATGTATAGCGTTTTGCTTGCTCCTAAATTAAAACAGCAGCGGAAAATGATTATTATTAAAACTCTTTTTGAGCAAAAATTATGAGTCAATCAATCAATCAACCAATCTGGCCTATTGATTGTTTATCTTTATATTTCGTATCCTTATGTATATAGATTTGTATTAGCTGTAATATAAATCCAAACTACATTGACCATGGCTATTTTAAATTTGACTATAGACCGAGTAAACTAACAGCATAATTGTTTGTAAAAATTCAATAGCATTATTCACATCCACATGCAGTTAAAGTAGACATTTACCTCATAAGGTGGTTAAAAACATATATAAAATAAATGTAATATTATTTTTTATTTTTACAAACTTAACGAAGTATTTATTGAGAGGTGTAGACTTAGTAAAAAAAATTTTAGCAGATGAGAGGCCAGTGCTTTATTAATATATTAGTGAAAACAAAATTCGTACATTGATTTGTAAATAATATCTAATAATATATACGCAATGATGATGAACGCCATTCATTAATGATCTAAGATCCATATTACCATTTCAATTTTTTAAAAATAATTAATGTACAAGGCCTCTATAGTTTTATTATGTATTGCTAATATATAATCTTAGATTTGTATGGGTAGAAATAAATCGATTCATGATTATTAATGACTGATTTTTTACCTACTCGGGCTTCGAACTAAAAACCGGTATTTGGTATAAATAGGAAATCAGTGTTTACAGGAAAAAACTATAGTTGATATAGTGATGGTATTCTGGAATTATTTAAATATTAGTTCGGTGCGTAATTATTTTAAGTATAAAATATTTTTAATAAAAATAATATTAAACACTATACACATATTTACGAGTTTCAAAGTCTAATCGTGCCATTCATTACGCTCCTACTGCAGTACAATGCGTTGACGTTTGAGTGTTTATATTTTCATAAGAATATTTCTAATCTTGTAAATTCGATTCGTTCCTATGGCCTCTTTCGGGTGAAATATTATCAAAATTTTCAGGATCATCATTTTGCTAATATCAAAAGGGTTAGTTAGTTCTGATAGTTTAACCTGGTGAATACCAATTTAAATGGCATTGACCTTCATAATCACCACTTACATTGTAACGTTTTCTTTCAGGTTAATTTCAGTCAATTCTTTTAATATTCTACTATATAAATTTTCGATAGACATTCTGCTCTTTTTATTTTTTGTATTTTCAGACAAATTGTAGGCATCGTTTCGCATGGAAGAGGATGCAGTAAAACACCAAGTATGTATAGTAATGTATACTTCTTGAAACCATGGATAGAAAGAGCTACTCAAGAATTATATAGAAGATTTTGTCGATTTCATTATCACGAATAAATTATGATTACATTACTTTGTGTATTCTATCAGTATCAGTAAATGGTTTCCTTTGTTTTACAAATTCTATGCCCAAATGATGGTAGAGGTTCAACATTTTACTTTGCATAAATAAATGAGGTCAAATATAACATGAATTCAGGACAATATAAATCGGCCTTGTAGGACGTAGACTGGAAAAAGAAAATGAAAATGGTTTTTTTTTTAATAGTTTAGACGTTTTCTCTCTTTCTTTCAATCGTTTAGAGCCTAGAAACAACTCTAGGCTCACTACGTATAAATATTATTTATTTTGTAAAAAAGAAAAATTGGCCCCTAGTATTTATTGTGAAAACATGTTTATATGTACATTTGCATATTTATATAATGACTGTCTGTTGCCAAAAAAAGAGAAAAAAATAAATTGCAGATTCTCAGTTTTATTATTTGACTTAGTTGAATTCATATACTATAGTTTTTATATATCTATTTTAATATAAAAACTTTATTCTTTGCCTTATATTTTTATGACTACGAGTATCCTAGACGGTTTTCGGATATTTTGATATTTATGCCACATCCTTTGAGTAGAGTTTGACGTACATCATTAACCATATCATTAATTATGCAATAAAAAAGTTTATTAACTTCTTGATTGATTAGTAACTAGGCAAAATTTATTGCTAAACGCAGGATTTCTGCTTTGATATAATGAAAAATTCCTTACATTTTCTAAATTATATATTTGTATTACTAATATATGGGAGATTTTCGTTATATTGTAAGCCATTATTGAATAAAAAAGATGGTCTTCAGGGTAAAATTATAGGAGGCGAGGCCGTGCCTATGGAAAGATTTCCAATTTCTGTGCAGTTCTTTAATGCAGGAGCAATGTGTGGTGGAGTTATACTTAGTAGTTGGAGTGTTATTACTGCTGCGCATTGTTTCGACGTGAATGCTAATGTTAATGATATGATTGTATATGTCGGTAAGTTACTAGTTTAGAGACCTGCTCTCTTATCTAATAGTAATCCAGGCGTATATAGTTTCCGACTATTAGACAACTAATACAAATACTTAAATATAAACTATCATAATTATCAACAATGTTTGCGCCGTGCGAGGAATCGAACCCAAAATTCTTAATTTGTAAGAATGGTTTTAAATTTTAGCAGTTACCACGAGCACAGATAACATAATAGCCACGAGGAAGAGTTTAGTTGAATTATTGACAAATTACTAGCAATATACTTATCAAATCGACATCCACACGGTTCATTTAGTTCACGGTTTTAGATATTCCCATCTTAGTAAATTACTGGTGAATTCGCTAACATACTCGTATGCTATCTGACCTGATTTAATTTTCGTCCTCCACTGCTTAATTCAAGTATTCAATACAGTACCTGAATTACACACATTGGCGGGAAGATATATTATAATTATTATTATATTAGTTGTCTATAGGTACTTATAATGATATTTTTTTCTTAAACTTGATTATTTACTTAACTTAGGGTCGAGGTATAACTACGACTTCAATGCTAAAGCGCATGATATATTGTCGTTTGTAATCCACGAGAGATACAACCAAAGTACACAATTCGCCTGCGATATTGCGTTGTTATTCCTCCAAACACCTATAAAGATTACAAATAAATCCGAGAAAGCTTTAATTGTGACCCATAACAGGTGGATGAATGCGAAAGAGAAGCAATTTATCGTCACAGGCTGGGGCTGGACTACAGTAAGTGTGTTTGACATCGTATTATATTTTATAGCGATTTTAAAACGTTTTGTATAGTAAACGTGAATTTTAGCATGATTATGTACGTAATGGGAACGAAGTCTTTTGTTTTATTTATTGAAGACTAATTTTTACACTCATAAATTTTAATTGAATTATTCATAAAATACGAGTATATATTACTAACTAGAGCCCGCTTCTTCGTCTGCGGGATTAATGAATACTTCGAGTAACTTATTTTACACAATATATCTTTATAAATTGTAACTTATGCGTTATTCTGATGGATAAGCTAAATTATTAAAGTTTCATTAAAACGCGTTCAGTAGTTTTTCTGTAAAAGAATACACATATTTCTATATTGTTTGTTTTATGTAACTGAACAGCCTGACTAGCGTAATAGAACTACTAACTGATACATAGGTATATACCACTACCATGAATATTACATCTGCATGTGACGCTCTATGTTTCACGCATGTATTGTATTATCATTCCGGAATACTAAAAGCTACGTTGGCAGGGGAAATAGGTGAAAAGACGACTTTGTAACGAATAGTAATAATAAAGTAATAATATCTCTGGATAATTCATACAGCGCCATTCCATTAGTCCCTTGCTAAGCAAAACTGATATATGTATTTTTAAATACATACATAGAAATATAATGTCCTAAGAAGTTTATACAGAAAAGTATCAGCGTAAAAAACCAAAATTCTTATAAAGATGGCTTACAAGTCACTCAAGAGCTTGATGACTACGAATGTTTGTAACGTACGAGGAATCGAACCCGCGTTTATTGGAATATTTCGATAGCCCATCGGGGCCATAAAAGTATACCGCGGTCATGTGTTTAGATTTTATCTTTATATAAAAAGATCTTTTTTAAATCCATATATTTTTTTAAATTTAAGTTTAGCAATATAATATCTATATACAAATGTTTCTGACTAATTGTAAGACAATCTGGTTTTATATATTGTATTATGATCTTTCGATGTTGCACTCGTTTGACTTGCTTGGTTTACGCTGAGTAATATCTTAAATTACCTTTGTGAGGTAAAAGGGCATATTACCTTGTTCTGTTTCTGTGTTATTGGAATAAAAAAAAATTGGTTACCATTATTTCAGTACGGTGGTCCGATATCGGAAAGCGGTTTGATGATGACTACTCTCCAATTTGTTCCCACGACAAAGTGTGAAATAGTTGATAAAAGTAAGGCAGCAAAATGCATGGGATATTCAGACAGAGAATCTCAAATAAAGAAGAAAATCTTAATATACAGATATGTTTTGTTTATATGGTGGGGGACAGAGGGATACTTGCAGAGGAGACTCTGGGGGTGGAGTACTTTGGAATGGGTGAAATATTTTTCCTAATCAATATTGAATTTTAGTCTAAGAAGTTAGATCGTCGATTTATGTTACATTTAGAACATTGTAATAGCTACTCGGTATGTGTGTGTTAAAATCGATATTTCTACGAAATAATCATCATAACATACTCGTATTTTACCCAGATGTTCATAGCCTGTCGTTACAGTAATTATACTGGATGTCGAATGTATCGCGATAACATATAATACAATATTTTCGTGTTATGTTATAATTAATATTAAAACTTATTTTATTAAGCAAAGGGGTTTCAAAATATGTATACATTAGGACTGCGTATTGAATTACTTTTAGTTTATGACAAGAATTTAATAGAATAATATGTTGATGGTCATTTTTTTACCGTAAACTTAAGCCTTATTTTCCATTTATATAACGATTTACAGATTTGTACATTTGCATTTCAAAAGAGTTTAAGCAGAGTTTTTTGTCAGTTCTTCTCGGCTCAGACTACAGACTGACTGATGGTAGATTTGACTTATACAAGTGTCTGTAAAAGATCTGGAGAAATAGATATATTTTTATTTTCCTTGTAATATACAAGCTGTACTCGCCTAGATCTGGGGTAAGGTATCTTTATGTACCCCCTAATTTTGTAAATACCTGAGTTTAAAGTTCTGAAATACTCACGTATTTCAGTGTGAGTATTTCAGAATTCCATAACCGGTGCTAATTATGAAAAATTGTTTCTTTAAATTAGCCCGACTGTGATCGGAGTCGTGACCTAATTTGTATAAAACAACGTGCTCCGAAGGTCGTGGTATAACAATGGGTATTGATGTTACAGAATGCTAGTGGGCATTACGTCACATGGTGATGGATGCGCTAAAAAAGACAAACCAAGCGTGTACGCCAACGTTTGGTATCTAAAGGACTGGATAGAAGAAACATTTTATAAGTTTATGGAGGAATATTGCCAGAATTCAGATTGGACGACATAACTTAATTATAGTTTATTACTGAGAACAATTATTGAGTTTTAATTAATACTGTCAATATATTCTAATGACCTGCTATTATAGTCAATGTCTTCAACACAATATTTCTTTAGTAACTGGTGAATGTTGATCATGATCCACCTGTGAATATAAAAATATATTTAATAGTATACGAACAGAGAATCAATAATGTAAATTTAACAGTCTTAATGTATTAGGTTCAAATATGTACCATTCATCAATCAAAAAGGTTCTTGTTCTAAATTTTTGATATTGATTTGTATTTATTAGATAGCAAATACAAATATAAGAATAATTTCGGACTAAGAAGATATATTTTAGAAGTGATATAAACAAAATTATAGAGAAACATAATACTAAACTTAAATAGAATATACCTATCTAAAGATATATTAGATTTGTGTTATATACACATAGAATTGACCAAAAATCTTTAACAAAGAAATGCAAAAAAATATTTTACAAATCTTTTACTATATAATTATATATACACTTACTGTGTGTAAACATGTCGAAGTAGTTATAACACATCAGCAGACGTATCACTAAATCATCATCACCTTCATTATATAGTATAAAATAAAGTCGCTGTCGCGGTCTGTCTCTATGTATGCTTAAATATTTAAAACTACGCAACGCATTTTGAAGCGGTCTTTTTAATAGATAGAGTGATTCTAGAGGAAGGTTTATATATATAATACATGTACACTCGTGCGAAGCCGGAATGAGTAGCTAGTTACATAGTGTAATATAAAGTCGCTGTTGCTGTCTGTCCCTATGTATGCTTAAATCTTTAAAAAGACGCAACGGATTTTGAAGCGGTTTTTTAATAGATAGAGTTATTCAAAAGGAAGGTTTATATACATAATTATACATGTACACATGTTTGAAGCCGGGGCGAGTAGCTAGTTAGGTATATAACGTGATTGTATTGTGATTATAATTATATGACACTTGATGATTCAGCATCAATCATCATCAGCAATCATTGACATATATTGTCAATGATTTTATTTATTTTTATTTGTACTCTTTATTGCACCAATTACAGAACAAAAAAAGTTTAATATTTATTTTATTAAGTTAAATTAAATCCTACTCGGATTTTAAAAAGAATATTGATAGCTTATTCCGGTCTGACACTTTAAAGTCTAATTAATTTTTAATGTAATGCTACACTATATTACATGTTATCTGCGATATTACCTACCTGTGGAAATACGAGACATTCGTAAACACAGCTACAAATGGCTCTTTTTTGTTTGTAGCCCCGAAAGACAGAATGCCTACTAGAAAGTTTCTATACATGGCCGAACCACCATTGTCGCTGAGACGGCGCTCCTGGGAAATGGTAGTGTATGGTAAGAAAGCTGGAACACTTTTGACATTATTGCCTGACTCTTTGCAAAGATTGTTTTTGTTTCTAGCGAACCAACTACCAACGAAATATTTTACAAAATATATAGGTTTACTCAATTTACTAATTATATAGAGTATAAAATTAACATTGTATAATTTAAATCTGTATGGGAGACAAATATGTAATATTTTACTTTAAAAATATCTAATTCAAATATATAATAATTGATTTATAAATTTAATAATTTACTTACAGTTAAATACTTTGTTTAGGAAATATTTTGTTAGAAAAAGTTTAATTTTATTAACGTCTCGTACATATTTTACATACAGAAATCAATATATCAAAAATCCCAAAGTTTGTAAAATATTATGACTTTTTAGTTAATTGAAGCGTAATATGGTAAACTTTATTTATTTCTAAAGAATTAAATCATTTATTTAAAATCCTTTTATACCTGCACCTATACATGTATAGTATATAGGTATTCTTTAGATAACCAATTAAATACGTGTTTTAATTTATAAAAGTATACATATTAAAATATTCCTAAAATTATGATGCCTTGTTGTGTGTTGACACGTATGTTTACGTACACGCAAATGCATTTCGTGGTTATTCGTAACATGTCAAGGTTATACCTTCAAAGGATAATTACTCAAAACACGTTTATGAATCGTCTAATTACAAATCGACTGGTCGAAGTAAGAGGGTCATTTATAGTTTACGTGACCCAGTGTCCTCCAACCAGATATTAACTCTAAGAAACGACCTTCGGTTTGAGTGTGCGTGACTACTACGTTTGAGTTACTAATAAACTTTGAATGTCAAAATATATGTCTGACTATCTCTTCGGTGATGGAAATATAGATAACAACCAAATAATTCATTATAGACAATGTAGAAGACTCGCTCCCTGCCACGTTGTATTCAAATCTACTGAGTTAAAAGTGGTAGGTATGTCAAATATTGCATTAAATCACCTTGTAGACAGTTGATAACACTTCTGACTATCCTATCCGAGAATACAGTCGTGAAAGTATGAGTACGTACACTAAAATGGCAAAACAATATGACTGTTCACTTGATGGAAAGTAAAGTGGTAACCGCCTATATGCTTTAATGTCCATACTGCTTTGATTCTGACGGCTGTGGGTTCGATGTGTGTGTGCCGATACTTGTTTAATCGGTCTGTGTATTTTAATTTGTATATTATGGTCGTATATACAAAAAATATATTATAAAAGTATTTATATCACTTGTTTAGTACCCATAACATAAGTTCTCTTGAACTTGGTACTTGACATTAGAATTAGATGACAGAAATGGCAATTCAAATGCTTTGTACAAAGTCTTTTCCTGGTAAAGAAAATATATCATTATATTAATAATATAATAAATAACTTACGAATTGATATTTAGCGCAGAAGTTTGATGACGATATCATACTGCCATAGTAGTTGACACAATCTGCTTTGTCCAATACAACCATCTTAGACAACAGAAGTTTGTTCATTTGATTCGTTGGTACATTCTGTAAATGGATTTTTTTTATCAATGTATATGAATTTTTGTGACATTATTATTAACACCATACTTAATCTGTATGTCCTACAGTGCCATGGTTGTGACAAATACAACAGGAATTAACCACGATAGTTTCTAGGGAGGGCCATGTGGAAGTCGACTTGACATGTACGTTTCTAGTTATGGGACCACTAAAGTCCATATTACCCTACTACAAATCCACTCTTTCTCCTTACTCGTCTATTAAAGGTACATATATAATTATATAATTAACTCTTCTATCGATCAGCACATGCTCTTGGCAGTCTTAGATTAGCCTACAAGATATTAGGTTAATTGTGTTACATGTTCATATATTTTTTCATATTATTTAACTCCGACTAAATAATAGGAAAAAGCGCCATCTGTACGATATTAGGGACAACTAGAAGACTTTGTGGTTGAGACTTTGAACAGCTACGTTCATTGCTTTACAATCTGTTTATCAGCAGAATTGTATGGAGATGAAGAAGATCATATAAACTAGAGGGCACTGCTGAGGAATAAAATGAGAATGTGTGATATTTGGTGGTTTTTGTAGGTGATAAAACATATTAGGAATTCAATTATGATGTATATAAATAATGTATATACATATATAAATAGGATAATGACCATAGTCTTTAACTGAAATAATATTAAAATTTAAACTTTAAATATAGAACGTTCTGATTCGACATATGTCATGACATACCATAAGGACAGAATATTTTCTAAAATAAAGGGAATCCAATATTATTAAGTTATCTTCTTCCCTATCTGTAAATAAGCCATGATGGATTAAGTGAGTTGATTTTGTCCTCATTTATTTATCTGTCACCGTTATTCATTAATAGTTCAAGAGACCATTTCAACATCATCCATATAAATTACTTTAACAATATCTTACCACACTACCCCAGCCTGAAACTTCAATTGGAATGCCAACTCGTAGCGCTACATCGGGCTCTACAAGAATTGTCTTTTTGACGTTTTCTCCAAATTCTACATTCTTCTAAAAAGATATTTTCAAAGCAATAAACATAATTATAATATAAACTTTAATATTATAAATTTAAAATGTTGTATTTATTCCTAACAGTGATTCATATTTAAGATTTATTATTTGAAAGCATCGTGGCATAGTGATTTTCTATCCGGTTTGACACCTAAGAGATTGATCTAGCTGCAATGAAAAAAACTGTATCAATTTACATTTCTGATTAACTCTCCGTTAAAGAAAAACACCGGACTAAAACGATTCTTAAAGCTTTTGCTCTCTGCCACGTTGGATTCAAATATAACTCACTAAATGTCAAGTGTTGCGTTCACCACAATATCGAAAGTTGACAATTACTCTGACTGCCCAACTGTTATATCAGTCATGTCGGTATGTTTTATATTATTTCTAGAATCCTATGACTTACTTGAGAATATAGAGCTAAATTATATTCATAGAAAATCATAAAAGTATATTAAATATCATTTATGTTAATATAATTTACGTTCAAATAAAAAACAGCAAAGTTATTACTCATTGTTCTCGGTAGATCTGCATTCAGAATGTAAAGATAGAATTATAAAATGACTAGGTATTCTTAAAATGTTTAATAGTAAGTTTTTATTCTAGTATACGTAGATTACTTACATTGTATCCTATTCTTTTAATTACATATTTCCTTCTTACCTACTTGCAAAACCAATATAGCAATATCATTATCCATGCTGTTACTGCACCCAAAATACTCATGATTCTTTATTTCAACAACAGATATAACTTGTCTGAAAATAATTCAATTTATTATGCTATTATGCATTTACATGTAAATATTTTGTGAATATTTTATGTTTAAATCCGATTGTGATATTGATAGTACCTACCTATATTGTAACTGTAATATTGTACCTACCTAATATTGTATTGTATACAATATTAGGTAGGTACAATATTACAGTTACAAATTGAAGATACACATGATTGTTAGTTATAGTTACAAAGTTCAGCTGGTTTAACTTACCATAACGAGTATTGAAGGTCTACACAAAATTATTTGCCGAGATTTTCTCTAGAGATTCCAGCATGGGGTTTATAGGCGTAGCAAGCCTTAATATAAGGTATAATAAAATGGAAAAACTATTTTAATATACACTACGTTAAGGTTTTTTAAGAACCGGTAACTTGTAATATCCCTGGAATTTTAGGTGTTCATATATTACGGAAATAGTTTACTATTTGATGTATCGTATGCCTGATTGCCACCACTGTGATATAAGATAACTACAGTTAAGAGTATATTATATAATATCAATAGAGTTATACATAGTCCGCATTGTGTATTGTATTATATATTTGTTTTGTACCAATTTTGAATGTATTTTCTTTAGTTTTTCCTTTTGTTATATTTTTTATTGTGACTTTTTGCCTTGTTACTGTGTGTAGCTCCATTATAATTATTTACCATTTTCTATCCATTGTTTGATTAATTAATATCACGTATACATCCATCCATTCTATCACCCACACGCATGGTAGAATAATATGTATGAATACTATAATTAAGTAATATCGTATTAGTATGATGTATATTATATGTATTTGTAACATATAAAATACTCACCCTTGACCAATTACGGTATTGGAGCCAACTTTTACAAAGCAAGGATTTTCCTTTCGTTTCCGGAAACAACTCGCAGTAGTTAGCACAATCTTACTGTGTATTAAGGTGCCAGAACAGTAAAGGCTATTGTAGATTATCAGAGCATGGTGTGGTACATTATTAATGCTGGTAATTTGTTTGTTGTTTATGTTATTGTCACTATTAGAGTACGTCCCTGACATAATTTCCGGCAGGTACCGATAGGAATACACGTAATAAACAGTGTGTAAAAAAATTATAATTGTATACCTGCAAATAATAAGTCGTTAAATATATTTAAATCTATAGAATGAGATATGTCGTTTATTATTGTCTAGTCTCATCACATATACTATTATGGGTTTTAATAATGACTACTTATATTCCCATAATAGTATTTAATATCAATGATTATACCGGTTATTTTATATCCTTAACCAAATTACATATCTTATATGATGAAGTAATAATTGTAACTAGTGCATTAAAATAACAGAATTAGATAACCAGGTAAAATACTGATTCTTTTGCGTCTCTTTGTTCAAATATTCATTTATACAGCAAAACTTTGTTTCTTGATCTATAAATTATATTCCATGTATTATGTATTTGCAGTGATCTGTGCTCTAAGTCAAATACAATATCAGTATATATACTGATATTGCTATTTGTGCTGAAAGTAGAAATCGAAATAGTAAAGTCAAAGTACCGTCCCAGTTTTGATAAAAGTAATATACAAAAATAGCAATAAGTTATAAATAAAAACGTCAAGAGACTTCCTGTACAAAATATATATAGAATGAGGAATAGGAATCAGTCTCGGCACCGCGACTATGGTTGTGTCGCGGAACACGTGTGGTTATAATAATGTAGGTAAGTTACCCACCCGCTCGTTCGCCTGAAATGAGCGGGTCTCTATGAATATTTTCTTAGATTAAAATAAAACCGACAAGTGCGAGTCGGATTCGCACAGCGAGGGCTCTTAATAATTTTATTTATTTATGAGGTATTTTTTTTATATTATGTGAACGCCAAATTCTACATGTGCTCGAACCGAAACACAGCTTACAAACCAAGTTTAATGGCTGAAATACCTACGCAGAAGACTTTGGAAAAATACTTAATAAATGTTATACCTTAATAACATTTATTTTTACAAATATACATATATATGTATATTTGTAGGTATGTAAGGTATGTATTTGTAGGTTTGTAGGTATACACATATATAAATATTTGAATCTGATCATGATACGTCGTGAGCCTTTTTTATCTCATGACCATACTATATTTTCTATTGACTTTGACTAGAATTTAGAACTAATGTGACGTGTGCGAGATTGATATACTATTATTTATGGAATTATATTAGTCTCAAAAGAGCTCATAATCCTGTTTATATAATACATATAAAAGTTTATATATTTCTATGTAAGAATTCATTACAATATGAGGTAATATAACACCTATCTAATAGACGGTAAAGATTAATATGATTAAGCAAACGTATAGCAAAGTTTCATTGTGAAGTACCTTTCATGATGATTCAAAAATAGTGTTAAATAGAAATAGGAAAAAAAGTGCTACATATTCTCTGTGTAGTATTCTTTTTCAAATCCGCACCGTACGGAACACTAAAAAGAGAACATTTATACACGTATAGTGGATACGTGTATAAATGTAGAGGTACCTACATCTACAGAACAGAGAATGTTCTGTAGATAGATCTATATTACAACAGCGTATTTTAATATTCATTCGTGAATGTGGGTTCTTACCTATATCACTACGAACGATTAACGAAATATTTCGTACTCACCCAATCATCTCGCTTCTGTATGAATTTTAATTTCATTCAGGGGTGCCCTTTCAGAGAATATTTTATAGAGCGGCGGTTCTTGTACTCGTGAAATATGGACGCGAAGTAATAAAGTCGACTGCGATAAACAAAGCGACTGTTATAAAAGCGATAAAAGGATTTCGTACTTGTAACTCTCAATCGTGCCACGCTGGTCGAGTCGCCGATTTTGATGAAGGTATTTGCATTTTTGTAGCGAGTGTTGCTTTGTGTAAAATTATTCGTTTGTACGCAGAATTTTGAAAGCCAATAAAATGAATGAACAAATATGCTTCTGTACTATTTTTGTTACTCGATCGAATTTTCTGATGAATTTAGTTCATTTTAATATTTTTTATGTAATTTGTTTATGCAAAACAGATGACAGCCCATCTGATAGTTAGTGCTAACTGTTGCTTCTGTAAATGAACAATACCACGAACATCATGTTATCGTGTGACATTTGGGAATTGCCATTCCAGAGAACTTAGGTGTTATGCCTCTTATGTCATATATGTATATATATATATATACATACAATATATATATACAATACAATATATATGCATCGCCTCATTAGAGCAAATATGCAAACAAATTAAAACCTGCATATTAAATTTGATAATGAATTGGTACTCAAAATCAATACTGCCTAAACCGCCATTATGTATACATACTAAATATGTAGCTACTTGTGCTACTTGGCTTTGTTGCTAAAATATTAATGTCTGAATTTATAACTAAATGAAAAATACACCCACTTGAATTAACTATATATTATACTCTACGGGCAATATATATTGCCCGTAATATATAGTTAATTCAAGTATATATATATTGTTGCCTTAAAATCTGTGATACTTATAGTCAACTCATATTTTATAACACAGCTTCAAATGCTAAGTGAAAACAAACAATCGGGGCACTTCAATGGTAAAATTCAGTTCGCGTATTGTAGAGTGAAACACGTTTGGCCTGACGGAAGCTGAAGTTTCGATGTGGGATTTTATCGTGTAACAAGCCGAAAGAGATTTCTAAGGATATCCTTTTTGGCTTTAATGCTAAAGTGTATACTAGATAAAAGATAAATATCTGTATTTGATTCATCTTTGTTGGGTTGCTTATTCAGTGGATCGTAACACTATCAACAGTAATTTAAAATAATATACTATACATACTAAATGACCTATTAATTCTGCCGCCAAGGAGCTTGCACTCTGTATTCCGCTTTGAAAGGAGCGAGATAGCAGTAAAATTACCGAGTACTATGATTTAAGATTTTAACACCCAATCAAAGTGTTAGTACGTCTCGGATTTCACGGGTGTTCATAAGTTTTGTTATATTCTCAGATATTTCAGATAACAATATGCCATTTAATAACCTATCATCGGGTATCTAATTAGCGTCTATGTACAAATACGCAACTGAATATAAACCTCTAAGTACGTTTTTATTATTTATAATAAAAAAAAATATTCTTATTTGTATTACATTATTGCGTAATTTATTATACCTACCTTTTAATAATTAAAAAGTGGTTCAGAAACTGACTATTTAAAAGTATTCTCCGGATAAATTATGAAAGAGTCCGACAAGGGACTAAATAAAAAGGTTACAGCACAATAAATCTGGAAAACGATCGGCAACCTTGAAATTAAAAATTTAAGTCCGCTCCTAAATTTAGTTGAAACTTTTTGAGCGCTCATAAATTTTCATCCCTAAGCTGGTGAAATGGATGAGTGCGCAAAGTCAAAGAGAATTCATTCTTATCTCCAGACCCTGCACACTGAAATAAAAATTGTCATAACTTTAAACTTTTATTATTATCCCTGAGAATCATATCCCCGGGTACAGCTTTTGTCGCTTTATTGTCGATGTTATAGGCTTAGTAATGACCCAAGAGCGAGAAAAAAATCTTTTCAGTACCTATATACACATATTACCCATATCCTGACATATTTTTGCACTTAAGGTGTTATTTTCTTGTAAATGTTTTCATATTCTCAGAATAACACGGATTTTCTATTTGTTTTCATAAATTATATACAGAAATGAAGCAATATCAAGCTGACGGTCGCTTCTGATTTTACAAGTAACAGAGCAGTGGAGTTTTACAATACTCTATGAAACAGTTGTAAAACAGAGTTCTCTTTTAAAACGCAATAAAAACAATACAATTTAATCATTGTAAGGCCTGTTATTAATAAGTCACCTTTTTAATAATTAGCCTTACCAGGAGCATGGCTTCTCACAGTTTAACCCACCTTACATTTATAGGTAGTAACATGTGGAAATCGTTCTATTATAAGTATTATATGAATTGAATAAATTATTTTTTATGGTACACTAGAGAAGTCAAAAAATTATTAATTAACCTGGTGTGTACACCAGGTTCTACTTGATGCTTGGTCTAACCTACCATTGTGAGTTTTATATATACACATAACATATAAATAACATATGAATAATAAAAGTATTTCACAAATCAGTGTAGTGGCTCAAGAGTTTACTTTCCTCTCGACAAAATCCTCTCTACCTCTTTATAATATTAGTTTAGATATTGGTAAAATGTTCTCTGAATATTTACTTTTACGGTTTCGTGTTTGAGACAGTTTGTCTGTGGTTTTTCAAAATCAGGGATATCAACCTCGCACGCACGCCCTCTCACCTTCGAGTTACACTTGTCAGCAAATCCTAGAAAATGAGACCCTCCGCCTTTTTCAACAATGTGACATGCGGGATACTCGGCACGTAGGTAAAACTCCATATTTACATATATACATATATTGTAGGTATCACAAATTTTTGTAGACACTGTAGATGTAAATCTGATTTTCCCTATATAACCGACTTGAAAAATAATGTTCTAATCGAATGTGTATTTACGCATACGATGACATGTCTAAGTTATCTGTAAAATAATATTTAAGCAATATAGCCGCCTACACATTTTCTTACATAGTGCATATTTTTTTATATATTTTAGTGTATAGTGTATTAGTTATAATATTAATAAATAATTTGTTAATTTTCTGAAAGCATGCTTTGAAAATGAATATGTATTTACACATTTTAAATTGTGAGTTATCTTTGTACGGAAAAGTAAATGTAAATTTGGTAATATTTTTTCGTATTTGACATTCCAAACATGCGGTGTTTGAAGTTCCAAGTCTGTCATGTTGGTAAGTTATTACTGTTTCCTCAGACGCTTCCTTTGATTTTCTATATTACAATCATTACACTTGATGTCATTGCAGAGACGATATACCTATCTACGTTACGATGTAATTTCCGTGAACAAAGTAATTGCATAAATATCTTAGTATTAAATCTTGTTATATTCAAGTTTTAATTTGATAATAAAAATTACATATCAGGATGTACTACATCTAGTAATATTCACTATTCTGGGTTCTAATACGTTGATGCAATCCTCAATAAAATATCCTTGAATATATTTTTATGAACACACCTCGAACACTTATATTTTATTATGTAGTAGTTGCACCCGCGATTTCGTCGGCGTGGAATTTAACTTTATTACCAGAGTTTACCAGGAATGAACAGACAGATAGACAAAAATAGTAAAAAATGTTATTTTGGTGTATGTACCGTATTTGTATTCATATACATATACTAAAAAACGGTTATTTCAATATTACAATCAGACACACCAATTTTATTTATATGTATACATGTAAAAAATGTATGTATGTAGGGGAGCGGGGGGCACGTTGTTACACGCGTTTTTACCGGGATTTTAAACTCTTTGATGGATATAATTTGACTCATTTGTGTTCTTATAACGTCGTGCACTAGATAAAAACTATCAATGACCCGCCAAGCGCCAAGGAGCTAGGTTGTGTGCATGTGTCTCGATTTCAACCAAGTAAGTAAAAAAATCTTTTACGAAATTTTTGATTCCTGATGTCTATATCTTTTATTTCCTCAAAATTTTTAACCTTGAACGTTCATTACATATCTACCTTGAAATTGCAATATTATTTTATTCTGATATTGATATACATTAATGATGACTTCAATTTATATTAAAAAACGTATCATGGGGCAAGTAGTTACAATTTTTTGGGGTAAGTTGTTACATGTAACAACTACGCTTAAGCTTACTATAAAATTGAAGAATTCGTTAATGATAATAATGTTTTTATAGAAAAACTTCAAATCCATAGCACTGACAATATTATCTAATTACACTAATAATGAGTGCGTGTTATACTGTAATTATTTATATAAAAACATCTATTAAAAAGTTTGTTGCTCATTCTTCTTGTGATGAATCTGCATTCCGAATGAGTGGTAGAATCAAAATATGACTATTCAAAAGTGCTTGTAATGAGTTTATTTGAATAAAGATTATTTCTATTTCTATAAAACTCGATTTAAAAAATATTTCCCCCAGTTGGTATAAAAATAATATGGCTGGGCAGGACTGGTTTCCTGGTTTTAAATGTTACAAGACTGTTTAAAATGATGTCTATTGTTTATGTTTCTAAATAATAATAAAAAAATATGTATAATGAATGATTGTGTTTATTTATCTACCGTAACATCGTGCCCCGATGATGTAACAACTAGCCCCAATTGGGGGGTAAGATGTTACAATCGACTTGTTTAGTTAAATTTCCCATCGTGAAAAAATTACATACATTTTAATAAATTTTCAGTCATATTTTAATAGCTAAATAGACATACTAACTTTGCAAGTAATCCAATGTATAATTTGTTTCATAGCTTTTGTCATATTAACATTTATCTAAAAATTGTAACAATGTGCCCCCCGCTCCCCTACCTATAAATCACTCAGTGTAGTTTATTAGTATCGACCTGCTTTGAACTGAGACTACAAGATTATAAGAGCTAAGGCTGGAAAGTTCTCTGTGATGCCCTTCTTCCTTCCATCTCTCCCGGGATTATGTCGGAACACGATCTATATTAATTACTAACTGCTGCACTCGATTAAGCCTGGCATAAATTGACTATTACATTTATAATGAAATGTGTAGAGTACGATTATATACGTATAATGTATTGCTCTTGATGCAGAATAATTCTCTCTATATTTCATTGCGTAATTAGGTATGTAGACTAAATAGCCGTATATAAAACTATTACAAATAAAATTATAATAGGTAGGGACAAAATTATAATATAAAACTTTGACGTTCATAAACGGCTAGAATGACTTACATGAATACATGATTTTTGAATTAGAATTAGAATTTATAATGAAAGTTGATAAAAGATTCAACTGACTTAAATATACAAAAGGTATCCTATACGAATAAATTACTATAACAAAGTCAAAACTTTAAATAAAGTAATCTATGCATAATATGGGTAATAAAGAAGTAGATAGTAGTGTAATACTTATAAAAGTTATTTAAGAATTTTCCGAAAAATAAAAAAATAAATAAAGTCGGTTTGCTGTCGGTTTGCACTCCAAATGTCTCACTCAGATCAAGCGGCACTCAACCGCAAAACTTTATATCATGAGAGCTTTAAACGTCTTCATTCTTATTTAGATTATATAGAGATACATAAAATTATGATACTGTAGACGTGTATTTTTATATTATTTTATCATTAATATTTTAATTTGTTTTGTTATCATTCTAGAAACATGTAATACTTTAAATTACTTGTTTTCTAAATTAATAAAATACATCCAATTATAAATTTATCGCAATTTTAAGTTTGGAAGTGGTGGGAGCGTAGTGTGATGTAAACGTATTAAAATATTTCCAACGCAATACCTCCAAATCTCTCATTTAAACTTATAACTAAATTTTATCAAGGTTGTTGATTTTGTTTTTAATTGAAAAGTGGATAGGTATAATTGAAGTAAAATATAATTTTTATACTTTTATACGAAATTGCCAGGTGTCTTAAGTAAATTGTGAATATTTTTAGATGCTATACAACATTAATACATGATTATAAAACTATAGCTACTATCTATTATAAATATTGACAGGCAAGTATTTGCACGTTATAATTTGTTTTTAGAAGTACTTATATACGAATACACAAAAGTCTCAGTTCTACGATATTTGTTTATAATCAACAATACTCATAATAGGCCATTACTATAGATAATAAATGTACATCTTTACTCTATGGTCTTTACCATGATGTCTATTTATTATCTGTAGTAAATCTATAGATATTACATTTAATTTCTAAACTGCGTGGAAAAATAAATATAGAGTGCTATATTTTACACGTAAAACAAGTTCCCTTTGATCTGTCCTTTTTAATCAGCGTCCGGTATACTACTGTAACTTTACACGTGCCCAGGTAGGGCCTCTGTCGCTTGGGATCCGTTCTTTGTAGAAAAGTCGGGTATAACCTACTTTTCGCGTTGAATATTTCAAAGGTAACGTATTATCCATCGACAACCGTTTCCCAGACTTGTTTTACATGGGTTATTTTACGTGGCACCGCGGTTTAATTTAATATTGTATGAAGCAATACATTTTCAAGGAAAGCACGAACTGATTTAATTTTTAACAATTTTGATAGTACAGTCGTCGTGGTAAATTAATAAATTAACTAGCTAGGAAACGAAGCAGAACGCTTAGCTAGCTAAGGAAAACTAGCTAGCGTTCTATTTGACCAAAAGTCGTGATGGTAAGGCAGTGTCTGTAACACCTAATGGGAAGTAGTCGTCATGGTCCAACACCATAAACATCCCTCACTACTCGAGTATTCCTAAACTTTTTAAAATGTATAATATATATGTATAACTTATTATAATATTTGGTAATTTTACTGCCAGATTGGCCGCTTTGTAGCAAATTAAGGTTTAGAGACAAATATAGGAATAGACTTTAGATATATATGTACATTTTCCATATTTCATGACAAGCCACAGCCCGAGGTGGTTTGGAATGAAACTAAAATTTGTTACATTCGAATTCGAAATTCGATTGCGAAATTTTATACATTCAAAATCATATTGTTATTTTAAATTATACTTAATATTAAACAATGTTACAATATTATATTTAAGGATATAATTTATATAATTAGTTATAACTTAGAAAATATATTTTAGAAAGGATTTAGACAAGTTTTATTTTTCATCTGCATAAATAATTCTTGTTTGGATATTATCACATTTGAAGTTAAAAAGTAATCACAGTACACATGTCACATATATATGTATAATTATATTACTCATGTAAAAGTAATATAGTATTGAGGGCGTCCTTATTTTGAACATGGTTGAATATTTAAATTCTAATCTAAGTAATGGACTGAATTAGTAGAACCATTTCGGTTTAAATAAATCAAATCAAATTCTATAACGTCGTATCAATTGAAGTGTTATTTGAAAGTAGCTCATTACTTATTCACAGAGATAATTAAAGTGATGACGATGCGAGGTCGGAAAAAAATTCCCCTTGACCTTACATAAACAAATTTCAGTTCAAACAAAAAGGTCGATCGTTACTTCCATGTTATTGTCAAATACTTTGTTTACATAATGTACGACGGAGGTCCGAGCATTGAGGTCGGAAGGCGATGGCGCGTGGCACGCGAGCTCAGTGTTACTACCTCAGTGGTTTCACCACTAAAGTTGACAGATTTATCCCTTTGGTTGATTTGGTAGGTAAACTTTCTTTCTTCTGACTAGTAAATATTACTGATAGCGAATCATAAATAAATAATTATTACATATTAAAATACTATTTTATAATCCTATTTAATAATTATTATTGTCCAATAGGATATGTTTGTAATTATTTTACAGGCAAAAAATGAATGTTATAATGGTTATTATTTTAGTTATGCTATATCATTAAACTATATAGTAAAAAAAATATTTTGCAACAATTATCAAATGTATTCCTTATCGCAAAATTAGATCCGATAATTGAATTCGATAAACCGCCAAAACAGGCAAACAAATAAACTATTACAATAACGAAAATATGCCTGCTTATTTGTTCAAAAATTTGGTAACTTTAGTAAGGTCCAGTCAGTGGACTTATTTAATCGTTGTTGGCAACACTTCGCGAGCTTTTGCGGCAGTCACGACACCGCGGCGGGAAGCTACGGTCGGCTACGGTCGGCTACGAGAAGCTACGGCCTCGTAATGTTGTGCACGCTCGCTCTTTTCGCGCTGTTCGCCTCTACCCAAGGACGAGCGGTAAGAAATTTCAGTTTCCACTTTGGTGTTATGTTGTCGTGCCTTTATTAGGGAAACAACGATTTAGTTCGAAAGTTTACTAATGTGAAGTGGTTATGCCGCATAAAGCAGTTACGCTCGAGTTGAAGTTTTTGTTTCAACTAGTTTTCTTTTCTCTACGCTTTTAATGTGAAAACTTTTTAAAAGTTTGAATATATTCTAAAATATTTTTATTACATACCGATATGTAATAAAAATATTACTATGCATAACAATATAAATACTATGTAATAAAAAAATTGTAAGAAGTGTTTTTTTGATTAAATAAAATAAGGGTTGTTATAAATAATTGACCGTTTTAAATATAGAATAAAAGTCTTTTTTTTATATATTGTAGATTCAAATATTGTATAATCCTAAGTGACTCATCATCGCTGAGCTGAAAGTAATTTATGAAAATCAATGCAGTATATTATTACGCATACACGTTATCCGTACTTATCTAGACCCTCGTAATAATAAATGTACATATTTCCAATATTAACCCACAAAAGAGAAAGAATGAAAATTTGATGCTATGATTGATTGATGCGTAAGATTAGATAGATACTGTTGTTAGTTGGTTGAATGTCGCCACTTTAGTTTAAAGTTAGTTAATGAGTTCTGTATAAAAATTATAGTTATTTTATAATTATTTGTAACAAATAAAAATGATTAATTTTGTAATCGTAGAACTTATATAAAAATACCAGACCAATTCATTATTAATTAAAAGAGTTTATATTAAAAAGAGTTTTGAATATAGCTTTTACTTACATCCTTATTTATACTATATTAAAACCTAATAATCTTCTATTGGTGAAAGTAATCATCGTTAAAATTAAAAGATAAAAAGAATATATTTTTAAATATTAAATAAGAATTCATTCGGAATGGCGCTTAGATTGAAAAACCTATAAAGAAAATTTAATTAAAAGCTATTAAAACCTTATGAAAATTGGACTACCGCAGAATAATTACAAAACCACGTGAAATATAAATAGATGTGAGAGTTCATAAATTAGTGGCTTCCAAGAAAAGTCTTTTCATTTCTCTGATATTGCTAGTTAGATGAGATTGTTAATATTCATAGAGTTCCTCGAGATCTAATAATCTTACGGGATCGGAACGATAACATGTTTTTATTAGAACAATTTATGAATAGTTTTTCTTCATATTTCTTTGAGGTTTCAGTAGTGGAGTATCTTTTTTATTCTGTTATTATAAAGATAAAGCAGCATTTCGATCTTGATTAATGTTTAATTAGGTATTATAATTTTTTTTAAACCTTACTAATATCGTGAAAAGATACGAAGACTGGCAATATCCTATTATGATAAAAGTCCCCAAATAAAACTAAGAATAAAAATAGAATTGTAAATGGTACCGTTTTTCACCACTAAACAGCTGCACTGATCTTAATACAAATTGATATGACGGTAGCGAAGACAGATTATCTTTTATCTAAAAAAACAAACGAAGTCGCTGGTAACAGCTAGTAGGAAAATTATTGTATTAATTGTTGTCGGTATATTTAACATTACAATAAACTAGACAATATCGGGATCTCACAAAAGATAAGTTCGATAAAAGTAATATACTTTCGGCAATTAAAAAATAATGACAACATCATTATCCTATTCATAGTGGTTATTCTATGAAAATTGCATTCTAATTGCTCTCGTCGTATTTAAGTGAAACTTTAACACATATAGTGTTCTTAAATACAACGAGAGCAATTAGAATGCAATTTTAAAAGATAAAACATATAAACAATTTTATTATACCTATATATAAAGTAAAAATAAAGATATCGGCAAAAAGTTATAATAAGTCATGAATAGTACATACATCGCTCTTCTAGATAGCCAATCATGTTACACTGCTCAGCTGTAACATAAATACTTACTTGTATTCAAGTTTCTTTTATTATTATAAATAGGTTTGTGTGAAAGTACTTTCATACGATCGAATTGCCGCATCTTTATAGAATTGAAGTATCTAAATCTGATAATTATTTTCTATGTATTTTATGTTATTATCTACACTAGTATTATAAATAGTGATAGAGAATGGATTTTGTTACGAGGAAAGTAAATACCGGAACGTTTGCACCACTTTGGGAAATTCTTTTCTGTTTATTTATTTAGTTATTATAATATATTCAAGACTTGCAAAGTTATGAGTAGGTAAGAAGAAGAGAAATGAGTATGGGAAAAGCCGATTTGCCAAGTATTATTTAATAAAGTTTAATTTGATATGTATTTTAATGTTGATCATATAGTTGTATGCATTTAGTTGTTGCCACTGGAAAATATGTCATTTTATACATATATTTTTCTGTTTCTTTGTATCAATATTATCTACAACAATGACGTATGGTTGAAACACTGCAGCACATTTTATAGTTGAAACGTTTGCCCGTAGCCCACTTTGTGGATTCTTTCATTACGCTACTAAAAATAACAGTACTGCGTGAAAAATAAAGCAAAAATATTGGTGCACAAAATTGTCTCTATATTTTCCAACATAAAAAGTAGAAAGCTAAAATTTGTTAGTTTTATTTAGTAAATCGGGAATTATTTAAATCTTATAGTTAGATTCTACGTGGGTAAAATTGCACGGTTAAATATTATAACATACTTTTATCCTAATATTTCACTATCTATTTACAGTGAAATATTGACTTATACCATGTAATTCAGTCCCTTGCATTATAATAATTTAAGTAATGCAAGTTACTTACTAATCAGATTTGATTCTAATACTAGAAGGACCTAATTTCTTAGTAATTAGTAATTCAAAATTTTATATCTCAGCAAATTTAAATCAATACTAAATTAGTATAAAATTATATGTATGTATATATAGCCTATCAATTGCAAATATAATCTACAAAATTGATACACAATTGGTAAATATACAGAAAAAACTTTGAAATCTATGAAAATGAATCATAACTCTTTTCAAATATGTTATGCTCATGGAATAATGTCAGTAAATTAATTTGATATGACTAAAATATATTATTAAAAGGGGTCCCTTTAGGCAACGTTCCGAAGATACTAGCAGCTACTATAATTATGTATACACGAAGCCATATATTCCTTCATCAAATATAAACGTATACTAAATGGTATGTAATGTCAGATGACTAATTCTAACTCCAGTATTAGCTGTCTTACCTCAGGGGTTAATTTCGACAGCGCAACATTACATACGACTAATTATGTTTAGTGGGTTCAAATTATAAGCTTCTTAACTACCTAAACTATATAGTAACAACTGAAATGAAATTCACATCGTGCAACAAAGTAAAATCTATTAAACTCCTTCTAACTTTAAGTACATTTTGCAGTAACGGTTACTGAAAGTACCATTTTAATAATGAGTAATATTAAAGTCATAATGGCTTACTCAGTTTATTTACACAGATATGTACTATATATTGTTATAAAATTATTGTTGTCTGTTGTATTATTTTTATTTATGAATATGCCTCATTATTTTCAGTTTCTTTTATTAAGATTTAATACACTTTTATTTACTTTACTTTCAATTATATGTCTATTATAGATGATTAATAAATGTACTTGCGATTAATTCATATTTATTTCTGATTTTTAAAAACTACATACTCGTCTTTTTTATAGTAAAGAACGCCATAGGGATAGATATTTTACTAATTTACGATACACGTGATCAAATCACATGACTTAATAATATCATGATTGAACTTGAAATCTAAAATGAGCGTTCTTCATGTATCTGTCATCTGAACTAGCTGTTCGGATGATTCCTATTTATGTGGTTTCGTCCATTTTATTTTCTTGTTTTTTTCTGCTATGCCCTACGCTAATGTTTATGATATCAGTATTTATGTTGATGTTTAAAATTTTGTTTTAAATTCCAAACAAAAACGCTTACCATATATTTTAATAATATTAAAATAAATATTTTATTAATGAAAAGTTTCTGATGAGCTCAATAGTGTTTGACGTTTTAACAAAGTCTAATAACAATTGTTTGATTTACAAAGTTATAAGACTTGAAGCGTTCTCGTTAATTAAGTTATCGGGAACAGCATGTTTTTGCTGTCTACTTGAACTTCGCTGCGTGACTCAAACTGCCACCGAATACTAATTCTGTTTAAAGTATTGGTTTGTACAAAATATTGTGGTAATAAAAGTAGCAGTCATTTTGGATCATGAAGGATTTTTATAAAACAAATAGTACATAGTGAAAAAGAAATTCTTCGTTGAATTCTAATAAAATGGTCATTAATCACCAATCCATTACGATTGTAAGGCACCGATGATGTAATACACGAAAACCCCAATTTATAAGTATCTTAAGTACCTATATAGTTATTAAGCATAGGATAGTTTGCAAGTCGTCGTTGATAAAAGAAATTAATGATGAAATATGATCGTTTAGTGCAGATTGATTATAGAACTTAACCTATGGTGAACATGGGCGATCACTGTTTCTGTTTAGCGTTTATAAATATGTAGAAATAAAATATAATATCAAAAGAAGAATAAATTTTAAATTATATGTACTTATATACATATATAGTTATATTATCGTAGTTCATAAGTATAATATAAGTAATGGTGGATCGGTCACGCGAATTAACCTTTGTTTATATTGACTATTATTACTATTTTGTTATATTAAGGGTTAACAACTCTGGTAGTCTGTATTCATACGTTATGACTTAAAAATGTTACAAAGGTTATTTAAAAGAGCACTACGTAAGTTTCTTGCACGTTCTTCTTGTAATAAGACAGCTTTCCGAATGCAGTAGATTAAACAAGGATGACTATGACTATTCAAAAGAACCTAAATCAAGTTTATTTGAATAAAGCATTTTCTATTCTATTCTAATCACCAGAAGTATCCCACTTTTGGTGAATCATGTAGTATCTACTCTTGCGCCACGGTTTTTGGTACATAAAAGATATATGTAGCGTATATTTTAAATACAGATATGGGTATTATTGCAGTATAACATAATCATCTGTTACTTAACCGACATCATTATAACAACTTGTTAATGTCCTCCTTGTAAGCTTTTTCTGAACATGCATAAAAATACTCTATCGCACTCACTCATAAGGGATACATTACATGCTTGCTATTACCCTGCGTGGGGATTTTATTGCCTGATATAATATTCTTTTGGAGGAAAAGCAGTGGTGACATATTGCATTTGTACTGCTCCACTGCTCCTGTATTATATGTACAGTATTAAAGCAGGTCACATAAAACGAGTTTCAATTTAGTGTAACAGGCTTTCAAGCTTCAAGAAAACAGTAGAGAGTAAAATTATACATTGTAGTTTCATAATAAGAATAATGTACCATGGATTTCGTAATAAATAATAAATTGGAGAACACGTAAGGGACTAGATTTACGAAATAGAAAGGGATTTCTATGTTATACATATATATACATCAGTATATTATATTCTTGAATTATTGGTTCATTAACAAAATTAATATAGCATGTCACCTAAAACCCGTCTGAGAAATTCTAAGAAATAAATTTCTGTAATTAAGATTGAGATCTCTGGGGAGTCACACCGGGTGGTTTCATTTTTCGTACTGAATGTACGATTACTGTCTCTGTATGTCAGACAAATATTGAACATTACTAATTGTTTGATATTTTGTTACAAGTCGAGTTTAACTTATATGGTTATACCGTGTTACAACTAATATATACAAAATTCCAATATTCATGCCTAATTTTGATATTATGCATGTCAAATGTTTCAACTTCCTCAGTTGATAATATATATATATATCTGACTACCCCACTGGGACTGACAGTCATTACGATATAACTCTCTTCAGTAACTGTCATCAAATTTTACATAATAATTTGGATAAAAAACTCGATGGAATACAAATAAAGATTTTCTCGTGAGAATTAATATTAAGACTTAATTTAAAAAATCGGAGTGATCGCAATCAGTCTGAAACGAGAGTTAACAGATGGCGAACAGGAAATTAGTTTTAACCCTACAAAGCTTTGATAAAATCGAGACTCCGGAACGATTTCAGCTCTGAAAAAGTTTTCTGTGACACGGAATTGGTCGGAGTACAGAGCAAGTGCATCGATGTATATAACGTTCACTAAATGGTCTATTCTCAATATAGAGTACACAGGATTAATTTCAAAGGTCAGGAGCAAGACTATAGCATAAATTAATATCTACACATAATAAAAGCGTGACTGATCGATATATGTACATGACTAACAAAATATTATTGTAAGACTTTATCAAATTAACCCAACTATATAATTATAAGTAGAATATTTTCTGCCCGATGTATTGTGGTATGCTTTTAAAAAATATGTTTTGATTAATTTCAAATCGTTTACAAACAAAATAGATATAGGATTGATTGATTGTCTCAGGTAGTAAAACATATTTATTTGTTCTACATATTCTAATTATATAATTTAATTTTGATTTTAGAATTCGTATACATAATTGATGTCAGAATTTCGTATACGAATTAAAAGGTCCACCGACTTTTAAAGCGCCTTCTTTGTGGTAAGTTTTGGTCCCTCGCTTTGGGATGTTTACTGTCATGTCAATATACAAAGGAGGACATAATCAAAAGGGAAATTGTAATATATATATTTGCTTACATATGTAATTGTCTTTCCAACGTAATATCGTGTCAAATGATGTCAACTTAAACAGAAATTTAATATAATGCTTAATAACTTTATAAATATGTACTAATGTTCATTTGTTTATATTACTATGTAATATTATGTTATCTGTGATATTACTAAACCTTTTCTTTAATATTTATTTATATTTAAATATTAAGGATACGGGTTTTTCAGTCAATAACTATCACCAGTTGTGAATAGAATAACAGGATATTTCCAAGTGAGAGTTCCGAAGTGAGAAATAGTGATTAAAATGCATATATAACTACAGCAAATATAAATATTTGAATACTATATTACGTATTCCAATATTTCTGTTTCCAATATATGTACGAAGATTTTTATTTGACAGGTCAATATCAGCAATACCTGGGTACTGCCTGAGGAGGGGTTCCCAGTATTCTACCGTTACTTCAGAGATCGCATCTCCTGGTACGAGGCTGATGCGGTGTGCCAGTTTCATCATGCCAATCTTGTAACTGGTGAGTAAATAGACTTTCATTTGTTTTTTGTACTTGGAATAGCAAACAAACTGATGCTTACTTGATGATATATGATAAATATCTCCATTATTAATAAACAGCATCACGGACTACGTAATCATGTGCCTGTACATGAGCATGTACTGATGCCTGTACCTCTGATGCGTAGTTTCGGTGGACTATTTTATTATGCCTGCGTAATCGGTTATTCACTGCCTTTTTTCTCTATACTCCACTTTATCTATACTTCAACCGAAACACACCTACAAACTAAGCTGGTCAATTTCGCAGACTATATCGTAGTATCACAAAGTATATCTCAGTTAAAATTTATTTCGGACAATATTATTAATCTATTTATTTAGACATAAAATGTGGAATTCATAATATTACATAGTGTACATATTTATTTAAACAATACAACGCTATGCCATTTACCAATAATGGCTATTATCAATACTCAATATGAAAGACAAATTAGTGTTATCAGTTAGATAGGTATATATGTTATATTTAATATATTTATAAGTTTCCTTAAAAGTGTAAAAATTTACTGTTACCTAAGTGTAAATTTATATGATTAGTTATAAACTTTCGTTCATCTTTTCCTGAAGCATTTTAAAATAATTATTTATAATTTATCGAAATTAATAATTTACTTTTTAATATCTACTAATTCTCAAACTTAATGATTATTTGATGGTGTAGCAGTAGCTAGCAAGGCTAGGCTAGCAAGCCTTACTCGTAATACCGATGGTCTCGGGTTCGATCCCTCGCACAGTACAAATTGGTATTCAAGAATATGATTGTTTGTTTTCTATATATATTATGTATATATTTACAAAAAAATATATTTATATCAGTTGTCACCGATAACACAACTCTGCTTAGCTTGGGACTAGATGGCGTTGTGTGAGTCCAGAGATATTATTTTTGTTATAATAGCCTCTAGTAATTATCTGGAATTTCATAGAACCAAAATCTATAATCTTCGTTATATCACACTACTATTTTAAGAAACTAAAATATGTATGACAAAATTATATACCTTTATGAAAAGTGTCGAAGGACAAACAAAAAAATTGACCACTGAATTATTCAATTTGAAACGAATGTAATTTTATGAATAGAATTCAAAGTACTTTGTCCTTTAAGAGGATTATTTTTATGTCAATACATTTTATCCTTATTAAACCTTTTGAAATGTAATTGATAATGAATTCTTGGTTATTACCTTAATATTGACATCGTACTCTTTAGGACTGACAATGCTGACAGCTTGTCAAGCGGTTTGAATTAACGTCGCTTTTTATTTCGCCTTGAGTTAAGAGTTATTGATCTTCTCTAGAATTTGACTAATGCTTGTCTCAAAAAATTGACGCGTCTTAAATGAGCATTTTATTAGTGGGGGTAATAATAAAAATTACAGAAATACAGTACAAATATCAAGAATACAATATATATACTAGAAGCACACAATGTAAGAAAGAAACGTTTAAAAAGAGTATCTTGATAATTTATCATGTAGTTATTATGTCAATTTTTCTTAATAACTTACAAGTAATTTTTTTAAGATTGAATTTCAGCTTAATTGAGAAACTTTTAAGGGCTACTACGGTCGTTATAGACTAAAATGGATTTCGTTGTCTCGCATCACTTGCTTTTATGTGAAACATTCGCTTGTCCGGAATCCAGAATGACAGATTCCGGAACCTGTACATGTATGTCTACAAAAAAAAGAATTTTATTTTGAATATCGTATTATTATTATAAACGCGAAAGTTGTGAGTATGGATGGATGTTTGTTACTCTTTCATGTAACTTTACTCTTTTAAAAACTAGTAGAGTAGCTGGTACTTAATATTTATCATTATCAGTGAATTGTTCGTGGACAACTCTCGTAGCGTCATCTAGTCACAAGCTAAACTAAGCTTGTATTGTGAGTATTAGATAATTGTAGATATCCAAAGATTTCTTTTATAAAAACATACATGTGTAGAATTTGTATGTCGTTTTGTCATTTTGGGTCGTTCTAATGCTTTTCATTGTACCGAGTATGTTGTATTTTCTAAAAAAACAGTTTAAGCTTTAAGACCGCAGGCGAATGACGCAACTTTTGTACCATTATGTTTCTGTGGTGAGTAAGGTTGTCAGGGGTCAGGATCAGTAATGCACACGTGACACTACTACGGCAGGCATTTTGGCAGGTATACATAGCCGTGACCTATACGGGGCATTTTGTTAACTTCAGACACTTGAAAGCATTGAAATCGTAAAACTGGCTTTTTTTATTTTGAGAGTTAATACGCGTCACAAAATTTATTGCTGTGTTTTGGTTTGTTTTTGCGTTTTTTCTCAACGTAATGGATGGATTTAGATTTTATTAAAACTGCGTCTAAGTTTGTTTTTATTTTCATAGACAAAATGTCAAATTACACATGCGACGCCAACAAACAGCAAGAGACTTTAAAGAAACATTTCTACGTACTTATACCTGTTTTCATATTATAAAGTTGTTAAAAAGCGGAAAATATTACAGAAGAAGAAAAATAATAAAAAATTCACGGGAGAATGGTCAAAATTTAGGAAGTTTACTTTTTACTTAAAAGTTTATTTATCATTAAGAACAATTCTGTGTAACACAGAGACTGACTAAGATTACAGGAAGTTTAAATAGCTTTTTCAACTTAGTTACCTAAACAAGTCTGTGATTATTTTTCGCCTTATATAAGATAAGAACTTCTCAGAGGGTTTTACAAGCTAAATTCATTAGAATACATGAAACGCTCTTCTTACGGGATCCTAAGCATTACCCACGATATATATCGAACTATAACGAGGTTTTAACATTGGAAAAAAATAAGATAGGAAATTGAAAATCACACACGATATATTATAATGCCACCTGATCTGGAGGTATTAACAAAAGCGTCATGTTAATTTATTATTATACATTAATATTAATATAATTACAATAATATAAATTATATATAATATTTAACTTAAAAATGTACAAGGCCTCTTAGACGATTATTTGTAAACAGCTCAAATTGACCGTAGCAAAAAATTGCGTATACAATTTTTTTGTCCCACACTATACCTACCTGTAAAATTATTTTTTCTTGTAATACTGTGACCTAAAGCAATTATTATGAGATTCACTGGCGGGAGCTATGACAGATAACATGTTAGTGAACAAAAATATCTATTGATTGTTTTTAATTTAAATTTTATTATAAACTTTTAATATTATAAACATTTATAATTATTTTGTGAAATATAATATATTATTTGGTGTAGCGTGTAAATAGAAAATCAAGAGAGCTAGCACTGCTATGACAGCGGTAAACCGCTGAAGGCTCAAATGTGCTATGTGACAGTTGGGGTTTCAACAATGGGCCCTTGGGGTCGAAGGATATTATTTAATCAAATATTAAAACGCCTAGTCGACTAATACCTTTTTTATACTACGATGGTGACAAACAAGACAATTTATTAATCCAAACAGATGAGATAATATTACAAGTGTAAAAAGTAATAACTTAGTAATGCATCCAACATTAAATATTAGCAGTGGTTTACACTCCTATTATTGTTACAATATATTATTAATAATTGTAGAGGAAAAGGTTTTTATATATTATTGATTTTGTCGTTATTGTAAATGATTAATATTAATATAATATAGTTAGTAATTATCATTGTGGAATCTATATAAAGACGTGAAGCAAAAACTTTGTACCCCTTTTTACGAAAATTGCGCTGACAAAGGGATATGAATTTTTAATGCAATTTTTTTTTTAATTGTACTTAACCAATAAATGAAATGCCGGCTACTACGATATTTGACATACACACACATTTGTTAAACTCTGTGGTAAAATTGAGAATAGGTTCATATTGTTTGCCTTTAACATTATTTGTCTGTAGTCTTTCACAAAAGAAACATGATAGTATTCAAATTAATTAAGGTCGAATGTATCCACTGGGCGACCACTAGTATAAAGTATTAGATCAATTAATCATCTCAAAATTACCGAATAAATAATATTTGAAGCATCAGTGTGTGCAACAAATGTAACATCGCTCAAAATTAGTTGAATGTATGTCAAACATTAGTGAATAATAATAAAACAAGCATAGATACCCATTTGGTAGATAAAAAAACAAATTGGGACCTACATTGTTTCTTTCCCACTCCATCGAATAGACTAGCGCAACGTAGCGCAAAATTAAGGCCGGAGTACATCCAAGGAAAAAGATTACGGAAGCAATGACGATACTGTAGTGTTCAACGAAGCCAGTTGCGGGCACGAGCAAATTTCAATATTCTCTTGGGCCTTTAGCTCTAATCGACAAATGCAATCCAAGCAAGACCCCCATTACTGTTGATAGCGCTCTCGACCCGCGCGAGATAACGGTCTATCACAAATAACATTGTACCTGATAATAAGGAAATATTTTGAACACGCGTCCAGGTTCTTTTGATATTTGGCAAAAACATGCGGTAAGTGCCAGTATGAAATTGTTTTTCTAAAGTAAGGTTTTATATGCGAATATAATGTAAAAACATGCAGAGTACCATTATAAATAGAGGAGATTTATGATAAGAATGTATTTACAACAGATGTTGTATCTAATAAATACATACTTAATTCATTTAATTAATAGAAAAAATAAATACAACGAACAAAGTATTTACCGTACGTATTCATATTTTTTACTATTTTTGTATATTAAACAAAACCTTTTTATTAATACAATTAGAAGATACTAGTACTGTAATTTAAAAAAGTATTATTTCATAAATTGTTGAAGCTATTTCACGAGTCATGACTGTTAATGAAATCTAATTATGTCGTTGAAATTATGCCTGAATACTAACAGTATAAGACCAGTCCGTCGGTCATTATGTTCGCATAATGACCGACGGACTGGTGGGGTCGATTTTGATCATAACCATAACGACGTTGGACCCTTGATATCGGCGGAGACTGATT